CTCCAGATCCCTACTTCTCATTTTACAGCTCTTAAATTTCTCAAAAGCACCTACAACTTACCATGTACAAACCAAACTTGTAAATTTTCCCAATTCAGTGAATGACATCTATTCAGGTATGCAAATAAGAAACTTGTAAGTCACCTTTGATACTTCCTTCCCCCATCCTACATATCCTGTCCATTTTTCTTCCTAAACATCCGTTCAGTCTTCCCATTTCTCCCTACCTCTACAACTGCTTCCCACATTTCTTGCTTGGGTTATTCGATTACTCATAACCGCTTTGGCCTTTTTCAAACCATTCCCCCTATTATTACACCTAGGTTGAAGCTCTGAAAACGTAAAGCCAGTCACATGATCGCTTGGCTTAAATACTTAAATAGCTTCCTGCTGCGCTGAAGCTAATGATAAAACTCCAAGCCCCTGGGTTGGCACCTTCCTACTTCTCCAGCCTCACTTCATTCCACTCTGCATGCTCTTTTCTTTCTTTCAGTCCCTTGAAAGAGCCATATCCCTCAGGTCACAAGTCCTTTGCTAAGGCTGCTTCCTATCTAGAAGGCTCTTCCCAGACTCCTTATCTCTTTCAGATCTCAATTATCACCTCCTCAGATAAATCTACCCCAATTTCCCGGAATTAAATCCTCCTATAATAAGCACTCAAAATGTCACATGCCACGTGCTGCACCACTGTACCCCCAAAGCTGGTATACAGCAGGTGCTCCATATTTACTGAATGAAGGAATAAAGTTTCCAAAGCTTCCCTCAAACCGTAAAACCAGCGAAGCTACAGGATCCCTAAAGTCTCTCCAATTCTAAATTCCAATGACCACAAACACATAAAAACAAAACAACGTATCAATTCCCACTGTATCTTCAAGTAAGGTTCAATAACCACAGATTTTCAAAACTGGAAAGGCAGTTAGAGGTCATGTAAAGTAGCTTCCTACCTACAATAAATATATTCAAGTTAAGTTCAATTCTAGTTAATTTTCTCTAGGAAGAAATGGGGTTCACACCTTTGAGATCAACAGGGAACTCTGAGTTTGATGGCAGGGCACAAACTAGTGTAGCAAGAAGCAATGTTAATTGCTTGTTTATTAATATCCAAACTACAATTCGTTCCCAGGCCCATAAGGGCTCCAATGTCTAACTTCATCCAAGTTATCAAAACAGTAGAACGTGACGAAAGGGGAATCCCACCAGACTGACTCGATGTCCTCCTTTGCTAACCACCCTAAAAACACTAAACTTTCCATCCCACCCCTCTTCTCCATCCTTCCCATCCCCGCTCCGCTAGTCTCACTTCAGTTTCATTCATGCATTCATTGCGCATTCATTCCACATTTCACAGGACGCATCCTACGTTTAGAAACCCCTGGAGAGCAAGTAGCTGGCGGCGTAAAGATCGATCTGATGCACGTTCCCTCCCGCCAGAAAACGGGGTTTAACCACAAGCTGACCCGAAACGGAAACAAGTAAATGCGCCCGCCCTCCTCACCACCAGGTCCTGGGCTCTCAGTCCCGCTCAGCCCAGGTCCGTATCACAGCCTCCACACTCCCTCCCCGCGACCCCCCAAGCACCCCAGCTCCTCCACCTGCCTCGCTAGGCCGCCGCTTCCCCCAGGCCCTTCCCACGCCTTTAAGCCCGCTCTCACCTCAAACGCACGGCTGTGGCCACGGCGCGGTGCTTGGCGCAGCTACCAAACCGCGTTGATCGCGAGACTCTGAAGATTTCCGCCC